CTCTCTGAGCTGGGTGGTTTCCTTGCAGACATCTCATGACCCAACTATGGAACATCATCAGTGCTAGGAGGGAGGGAGGATTGCAGGGAGGAGGGGGAGGGCTGTTCGGGCATCTGAATTCCACCCAGGGAAGATCCCCCTGCAAGGGAGCCAAGCTGCGCATCCCTCTGCAGGGGACCCTCCCGCACCCACTCACAGCGTCTTGTGGGTCTTCATGTGGGGCCTGAGGGCCACCCCCAGGGCTTGGCATCGCTCCCGCATGCGCTGCGCGTTCCTCGTGGCCACGCCCAGGTCCACCGTGAAGGCCGGAGTGGGCAGCTCCTCCAGGCGTCGTCCTTCCCACATGCCCTGCAAGGGAACTGCAAAGAGGGAAGTCGGGGATCAGGGGAGCGGGTTCAAGAGCCGCCGAAAGGGACTGAGGAGCAAACCCCAGCATCCCAGAGGTGGACGGGGAACCTAGAGGTCATCTAGTCCAGCGGTCCCCAAACTTTCCGGCTTGGTGGACGGGTGGGCGAATGGGATGCGAGTGGTGGCCTGGGGGGGGATTGGGCCCCCCGATCTAGTCCAACCCTCTTTTTAGCCCCCAATAGGGCAGCCTTTCTCAGCCCGGGTCCCCTGGGCAAATTTCAAGGGGGTTCAAGTAAACAAAAATTGTTCGTTGGCGGTTGTGGCCTGTGGTGATGCGGACAAAAACAAGAAAAGTATATTTTAGGCAGTCCTCGGCTTACAACCACTCATTTAGTGACCTTTTGAAGTCAGAACGGCACTGAAAAAGAGAGGCTTAGCACCGTTTTCCACACTTAAAAGGGCCCTGTGGCCAGTCCTCGCACTTATGACGGTCCCCGCGGTCACAGGATCAAAATTTGTGCCCTCGGAAACCGCAACTGTTTATGATGGTTGCCGCATCCCCAAGTCACGAGATCGACAGTTGTGGCCTTCCCTGTTGGCTTCCGACATGCAAAGGGGAATCTGGATTCGCTTAACGAGCGATTCACTGAATGACAGCTGTGATTGTGAAATCAAGCGTGATGCACTTAACGACTTCCTTGTTTAGCAAGTCGTAAGCCGAGGTCTACCTGTATGCTGCAGATGCCATTGTTGTTGGCAGAAAAAGCCCCAGACACCATCCAAAACGAGGTCAGCCCAACCCAAAAAATAGATTTAGATTTCCTTCAGTGGATTCTCTCTAAAAGAAGGCCGACCATTTTAATTTAAATTTCAGTCTTCGATTTACAACCACAATCGAGCTCAAAGTTTCCATTGCCCAGACAGCCCTTGAGTGAGTTTTGCCCCGTGTTACAACCTTTCTTGCCACGTTGTTAAGTGAACCTCTACGATAGTTAAGCAAGTCACAAGGTCTTTAAGTGAATCCGGCTTCCCCATCTGCTTTGCTTGTCAGAAGGTCGCAAAGGCGGATCACGTGACAAAGCAACTGTCATAAATGTGAGTCAGGTGGCAACCGACTGAATTTTGATTGTGCGTCCATGAAGATGCTGCAATGGTCATAACTGTGGGAAAAAACCTGTCACAATTCCTTTTTCTGGGCCGTTGTTGTAACTTTGAACGGCCACTAAACGAAAAGTTGTAAGACGAGGATTATACTTATATTTTAAATGAGGCGTTGAAAATGTAAAACCAACATGTTTTCTACCACAGCTTAAGGACCCTTATTTATTCATTTATTTCCGCAATGTTTTAACATGTTATTAATACACCGTGTTGTTTCCATAACATTTCACGACCTCCCTGCCAGGCAGGACCCAATGGCAGAATTCCAGCTGAGATACCTACAGCCACAAGTGACCAGATTTCCGAACGGAAGAGATCACTGGATCAATATCTGCAGAGCAAAATGTTGATGGCTAGATTTATATCACACAGGGGTGTCTATTCCTCTATTTTTTTCTCCTCACAACAACCTTGCAGGGTTGACCAGGATCTAAAGTCTGGTAGGCAGCTTCTATGATTGACAGAAGGGGAAGCCAGACCCTGCCCCCTCCCCTCGGTTATTAGTCCCACAGTTTACACCCATTGCAATGCACAGATACCCCCGAAACACCCCTCTCAACGCTGCACAAATTCTCCTTCCTAGCAGGGACTTATTCAGGGTAGCCCCAAATCTTTCACAAGTACTATCTTTGAATCAGCAAAGCTGGCTGAGGGATTCTGGGAGTTGAAGTCCACAAGTCTTAAAAGTGGCCAAGGTTGGAGACCCCTGCCTTGGATTAAATCAGTGTTTTTCAGCCTGGGCCACTTTAAGATGGGTGGACTTCAACTCCCAGAATTCCCCAGGGAACAAGTGTTCAATTCATGTCCCACAATTCCTCTGCAAGGAAGTATAGACTTCAAGTCCCAGAATTCCCCCAGCCAGCACAAAGTGGGTTTCACCACCCAGAATCCCTCAAGAAAACATGTATCACTTCTAACTCCAAAATTTTACAGACAGTTTGTGGGCTGTGGAATTCTGGGAGTTGAAGTCCACCTGTTGAAACAAAATGGCGGAGATTTGGAAAAAATGGCTGTTTTTCCCAAAAATTTGCCACCTTCCCCGGGTTTCTATTGCATTATATTATATATATTATACATTATATTATAATATATATATATACAACATATTATTTTATATACAATATATATTACATATATATAATTATATAATTATAATAAAATTATAAATAAGGAAATAGGGAGAGATGCATGTATTTATATATTAACGAATGCATAATTATTATATTTCCAAAGCTGATTTCTGATTTGCCAGCTTGGGGGGCGCACGGTTGCAGATCGTGCATTCACGAAACTTCTTGCAACGTTTGGAGGCGCCCCAGGGAAACACAGAAGTTTGCACCCTGCCTACCTCTCTCGGGCCGCTTGGAAAAAAAGGGGTGCAGCGAGGGTCAATCCACACAGGCCATTCGGACCTGGGCAAAGTCCAGCTAGGAGGGGCGTCACGTGAGCAAGTGGGCCGGTTCTCCCCTTTTGCAGAGTTCAAGGACTGCAAGTTCCAAGGTGCTCAGCCAGCACGCGCGAGCCATTCTGGGTGTTGTAGTTCATTGTATGGAAAAGTTGCTCTGTCGGACTCGGAATAAAGGGTTTTTTTGCAAGAGATGCCAGTATGTGTAATATACTAATATATATGTATTAGTATTCCCAAGTATAATAATTGTAATAAAAATACGTGTAATGTGTGTGTATGTGCACCGAGACCTCTTTGCAAAGATTGTAAATGCAGGGTAAACGTGTAAAAATATTATAGAAAAAAAGTAAATTAAAACGCACTCGGTCACGAAGGAGTTAACAAAGTGAACTTGAGGGCGGGGGAGGAAGAGGAGGAGCATTTCCAGGTGGGGTGTTTCTTCCGCCACCCGCCCGCTCTATTTTCTCGCCTCGCCGGGACCGTAGAACCACAACGTTACTCCAACGATCAGGGAGCGGGAAGTACGCCTGCGCGTTGCTAATAGATGCCGTGCTGGCTTTGACACGCGCTCCGATTCCACCCATGGTGCGTTAAGCTTGCCAACAGCGCCTCCTGCCGATAGGAAACAGCTATTTTAAGCGAGCAAGTGAGATGCGCGGTGAACACGTTTTTGACCCGGTTTTTTGGCGGGTTTGGTGCAATCGCTCGATTGCTCTCGCGTCGGCCTCCGGTGGAGGAGAGGAGGCGGAAAACCCGCAATCCCCGTAGGGTGAGGGGCAGGGAGCCCAAGCTGCGGCTGGTTTGAAGTTGCAAAAGTTTTGAGTTTTCCTCCGTTTGCAAGGCTTAAAGAGCTGGCCAGCCTGTTGATTAAACCCGGCTTTCTCGAAGTAGCTCAAGACAGCGTGTGCCTAACCCTTCCTCCCCCCCACTTCCGTAACATCCCTGCTAGAAAGGCAGAGAGAGAGAGAGAGAGACGGGTGGGGCAGAAAATAACAGAGTTGGGAGGGACTTTGGAGGTCATCTAGTCCAACCCCTCCCCAAGCAGGAGACCCTGCACCATTTCTGACAGATGGCAATCCAGTCTCTTCTTGAAAGCCACCAGTGATGATGCTGTCACAACTTCTGTTCCACTGGTTGATTGTTCTCACTGGCAGAAAGTTTCTCCTTATTTCCAGATTGAATCTCTCCTGGTTCAGTTAACATCCATTATTCCTTGTCTGGCCTTCAAGGGTGCTTTGGAGAATAGCTTGACCCCCTTCCTCCTCCACTCTGGGGCAGCCCCTCAAATATTGGAAGACTACTCTCCTGTCTCCCCTGGTCCTTCTCTTCCATAGACTAGCCAGGCCCGGTTCCTGCAACCGTTCATCGTATGTTTTACCCTCCAGTCCCCTAATCATCCTGGTTGCTCTTCTCTGCGCTTTTTCTAGAGTTTCAACATCCTTTTTTATAGTGTGGTGACCAAAACTGGATGCAGGATTCCATTGCATGGAAGGAAGGAAGGAAATGAATGACTCCCAGGATCCAGTGGAGGCTGGGGGATTCTGGGAGTTGAAGTCCTCTCATCTTAAAGTTGTTCAGGTTTAGGGAACTGAGTGGGGAGTTCAAGAGTATCCCATAATAAGCGTTCTGTGTGAGGGAAAGCCCTATTGATTCTTTTGACTTTTTTTTTTGCAATTATTACAGGAATGTACGGTAAATCTATTCTTGGTAATCATTTAGTGTGAGAGGCTAAATCTTTGTCATGATTTTGCTGTTATGGTTCTACGTAAGAACTATTTGTTATTAACAGAGAAAGTTTTGGTTTGTGGCGATTTTGTGTATGTGTGTGGACACAGGCAGGCACGCACACGTAGTCCATATATAACAAGTACCACTTTTCAACCTGGTTTTGCCTTCCATTTCTGTTTTGCAAGTAGTCCTTGACTTAAGGCCATTTGTAATAAACTGGCCATGATGATGCTCAAAAAAGTCTGATCCTCACACTTATGACCAGTCCTCACCTTACAGCATTGCAGTGCCCTCACCTGATTTTTGACCTTGTCACCAGAGGGATTGGTGCAATATTTGTAAAATAGTCATAAATCCCCTTTTTTTCCGTGCTGTTGTAACTTTGGTCATTAAATAAACGGTTGTAAGTCAGGGACTACCTTTATAGATATGTCATGTGCTTGAGTTATTATTTTATATTTTGTACTCCTTAATCATCATCTCCCTCAGGGCGGTATGCAACATAATAAAAAAATTAATTAACATTAAAATGAGTGAATTCCACCTTGCATGGAGTGCCCTAATTTCATAATTTCCTTGCTTTTTTGTTTCTACTCCTAACTGGAACCACAACCAAAGTGTCTCTCACACACATAACACAACAATCTACACAACATTGCTTTTTTAACTGTTTATTTAAACTCGGGTGAACATGGATATCCTCCTTCGGCGAGGCAAAAAAACCAGTTATAATTCAAGGCAAGCTGTCCCATTCAAGTTTAAGGCATATTTTCACTTTTCTAAATTTAAAAATTCAGATTGTGCTTTAAATTTTTCTGGAAGGAAAAAAAAAGACGCAAGGCAGTGCACACTAAATGGATTTGTCCTGTCCCACAGGCCTTTTAAAACCAGGCACCGTTTTTCCACGTCACGCAGAACGCCAACGACGACCAGGAATCTACAGAAAAGTTGCAATCCCGTCCTTATACTCGCAGGGTGCCTGGATTTGCAAGGGGAGCTTTTAATTGCCCTGTGGTTGCTAAGGATTTGCACCTCCTTTATAATTTATTTATTGCAAAATACAGATTTCCCTTTGGGCAACCAATGGCCGTGCTTAAACCGAGAAGGCTGGTCTGGTACAATGGCTCAGATCGAAGTGGAGGATGGATCTTTGTCCTCTTTGGGGATCATTGGTTCTGGATCGGGGCAAATGGAAGTTTTAGCGGGGATGGTGACAAAAGGGCAGCCCCGTGCCTGTCTGTATCCATCCTTAAAACAATGTTTCTCATCCTTGGACTCTTGGAGATGGGTGAACTTCACCTCCCAGAATTCCTCAGCCAGCCTGCTGGCTGGGGAATTCTGGGAGTTGAAATCCAACCTTCTTCAAGCAGTCAGCGAGAAACATTTGCCTTAAAGCATTTTTTTTTTGCAACCAAGTTTTGCTCGTTTGCAAATCCAAAATAATGCTGAATTCCAGAGCAGGCTTTTGTCTCTTTAACCTTAAAAACATTCACTTTTTTTACAAAAATTCTTTGTGACATTAGCTATTAAAGCTTATTTCTTTTCTCTTTCTTCACTTCCCGTGAGCCAAAAATGGTGTCGTACCAACACAATACAGACTCTACGCAATTGGAAAGCACACTCTGGTACCAACAGACATGAAGCCTGGTTTTGTTTTTTGTTTTTTGGCAAATCCCCCCCAAAGTTGAGCCCGGTTTCTGCAGCCTAAACCTGCCCCAAATAAATCCATCTGACTCCGATTCTCTCAAACAAACCAGGCTGACAATCTCAGGAACTTCAGAACCGCAGCCAAGGCAAGTCAGCCAAACATCTGCCGTGATGAAATGTCAGTGCTAAATTTCGTGCTGGTCAAAGGACATTATCCACTGGTTGCTTTTTTCTTGGAGTTGGAAAACTCTGAAATTTACACCTTTGCCCCCTTTTAAATACATTTTTAAAAAGTGGGGGGGCACAAAAATTTTGGAATGCTGATATTGCACTTGGTGGAAATTGGTCTCTATTCCAGAATTATTATTAAGTTCTTTGAGAGAGAGAAGACCTGGAATGGATAGGAAATTAGAAAAAAGATTTAAGAACGGTTTCAACCTTGTAGGCAATTGTGATGCAAAACTGAGGATCTTGTCTCGGTTTGGGGACACGCACTCTGGCTGGGGAGGGTTGGATTTGTAGTCTCCTAGAGAATGCTTACCTGGTGAAGAAAAAGACAAAACGAGAGCGGTGGAAGGAATGTGATAAAACATTCGTAGACTTGGTTTCCCTCTATGTAAGGGCAGATGTGTTAGTGGGCTAGAAAAAGGTAAAAAAACACCGTCTTAAACTTCCTTTGAACTGTTTCTCAACCTTGGGAAGTTAAAGATCGGTGTGTGTCCGTCCGCTCCCAGAATCCCCTAGTCAGTATGCTTTTAAGAGGGTTCAACTTCAACTCCCAGAATCCACCAGCCAGCCATGCTTTAACAATTCTGGGAGTTGAAGTTCACACATCTTCAAGTTGCCACGGTTGAGAAACATGGTTCTAACGCGTCACATTTGGAGTGCAAGAACATCCCAGAAATTGAAAAATTTCCTCTGCCAACAAACAGAAGAGCAGCTGTCCTCTTCTCCATCTTCCTAACCGGAGGATGAATCAACCAACAAACAGTAGAATAATTAAGAGTAGGGTAAAAAATCACAGAAGCTCAAAGATGAAACAATGGAATTGCTTTCTAGGTGTAACTGAAGACCAGAGATCTTCAGAGTTGCACTGGAGGATGTTCTCCCTTAAGAAGAAGACTCACAACAAAAGACGACGTAATCCAGGAAGGAAGCCACGTGAGGATGGAGGCGGATACCTGTTCTTCTCCAGGACATTCAACCGTCAACGCGCTTTGTACAGCCACAGAAGTGGGACACAGAGAGATCATCCAGACACGAGTAGATGAAGGATCACTTTTCTTTAGGCGAACGGTTGCAGGGGTGGAGCGAGAGGGGGCACAGTTTCCTTCAACCATGTGGGGCAAAGAGATGGAATGACTTCCCCAAGAAGGCTGGTAGTTGGACAGCTGAGGACTCTGTCCTGATTTGGAGAGCAAGAAATGAGAAGGTAGGACAAAACCAACGTCCAGCGTGAAATCTGCTCTGATTTGTTTTTGCATTGGGACGTTGCGTGTGGTTTCCGGGATCTCAGAACCTTCTCCTCTCTCCTCCATGCAGAAGGTCAGAAGGGCCCATAGGAGCAGGTGCTTAAGAGGAAGATGATGTCAATTCCATAAAACATGTACAGGACGGCACAGGGAGTCACCGTTTCCACCAGAAGGACCTCGGATAAGACATCTCCGGGAGGAGGGTCTATTAAGTGGGTTTTTTTTCAAAGTGAGGAGCGAAGAGGACAACCATCTTCCACTCTACGGATCTTCCACTCATCTCGGGACAGAGAGAACCGTAAGGCCTTGAGGCTGGGTATAACACAGGGGCACCAAAGTTATCTTTTATTGCTAGCGAAGGTACGCAGGACACGGTGTTGCAAATCGTTGGCCTCCAACCAATGAATGTCTGGGCCTCCCACATCCTTAATGGTCAACTGTCCACAGGCGTTCTCCAGGACCAAGCCACCAGAGGGCAGCAGATCTGTGGGAAAAGCTCGCTTTTTTCATACCGCGTAGGAGACTGAAAATTCGCCTCCTGCCCCGTCTCTGGCACAATGCTTATGGGTTGCCCCACCCTGTCCAACTTTCTTGGTTTCCAAATTGCGGATCAAGAGCTCCTGACTTTTCCCGTCTTCCCTTTAAAGCTTTCTTCAGAGTTTAGTTGAACTTCTCACCCACCAGGACAGAAAGCAACAGGTGTCCACTTCGGGCGCAGGTATGTTCCACGTAGTGCAACGAACGTCTCCTTAAGGCCACCACCAAGAGACACCCATCCCCCCGGCAGTCTTGAAGTTGGGGTGTCTATCGTTTCACTTGTGGTCCCCAGACTCTGACATAGGGTGGGAGGAGGAAGGGACACCCCAGCAGACTTACCCTGTCCTCTCTCACTCACGCTCTCCAGTGTAAGACAATACAAACATTTGCCGTTTCAAGCTCTGCAGGAATCAATAGTGGTATAGCATTGATCGGTGGGGAACAGCTGAATGGACTCAGGGAAACCGCATACACACACCCACACACACGCACACCCACCCACCCACAAACCCCCATTGTTCCGCTGCACGAACTGCGTTCAGGAGCCTGCTCCAGAGGTGTGCAGGTTCTCGCTGCTGGGGAGTTGCCACAGGTTATCCCTGCAGCCACAAAGATCCGTCGGCCGTGCAACGAGAGAATCGGACAGCAGCAGTGGTGGACCTCCTCTTGGGAGGGCCCGTGGTCCACTGTGGCAGAGAGGTAACTACAAGGCAACAGGAAAGTTTAAAAAAAAAAAAGAGGCCCCTATTTGGATTCTGTCGGATGATATTCTGTCTCGCCCGAAGACACTTGGGAAATACGCCGCGTCGAACGCCACAGCCGCCTGTGGAACTGGCCCGTCCTCACCTGGAGAAGGAGAAGGAGAGAGAAAGGTGGCAAATGAGGAAGCACCAGGAGGAGGAGGACCTGCTTGGTTAAAACAGTAGCAAACCAGTAGAAGTTTGACCATCATATGGACTTCTGGACCCTTCACGTCCAGCCGGGATGACGCGTGGCTGGAGATGAAATGGCTGAAGAGAAAGGGTACAGCAGTACCCTTCCTCTCCAGCCGTTAAGAGAGTTCCATAACTAGGAGGCCAATCTCTTAAGTAGGTTCCTCAACTAGGAGGCCGGCCTAGGAGTAGTTAGGAAGGAAGGCTATGGTTGAATAAGAGGGTTGGAAGGCTACCTTGGAGGCCTTCTAATCCAACCCCCTGCTCAAGGAGACTTTATACCCCGTTTCTCCAAAAATAAGACCTAGCATGTTTTAAGCATGTGCCTAATATAAGCCCTACCCCCCTCCACCCCCAAAATAAGCTCCACTTAACAGCCTGCGCAGCTGGCCACCCGCCCATTCCATCTGGTTGCCACAGCCACGAAGTCAGGACGGCGGAGCTGCCCCATAGTGGTCCCACACCAGTTTACCTCAGTTCACCCAAACCCGGACAACTGCCTCATGGCGGCGGCATTGGCAGCCATGTGTAGCAGGAGCCTGCATGGCCCATTTGTTCTGCTTTCAGCCACAACGGAGCAGGAGGCTGAGTGGTGTGCCGGTGTTGCCGCCGCGAGGCAAGGCAGGTGTTGGAGCGTGGATGGACTGGCTAAAGAGGCCCTGAGGTAAACCAGTGTGAGGTGTACGGGGCAGCTCCACCACCGCCTTCCCTGCCTCACACGGCGGCCGTGGCCCCAGCGTGCCATGTGGCCTCCTGCCCCACGCGAGCAAGCAGAAGAAGTGGGCCTCCAGTACACACACAAAATAAGTCACTCCCCAAAATAAGCCCTAGTAATTTGGGGGCCCAAAACAAAACAAGACCCGGTTTTAGAAACAAGGGAACAAATGGCTGTCCAGTTCTTGAAAACCTCCAGTGATGGAGAACCCCCACGGACGAGCCATTTCGACGTGTTTCTCCACGGTGCAACAGGAGATGCTCATGTGCTCTTACGGCCCCCAGTTCTTGTCCCTGGAGGGGTTGAGCCGAGGGAGGAAGAGGGGATGGCACTCACTTCCGAAGGCTGGCCTGCACCGACCACGATGAGCTTCCCGTCCTCCAGACCGACCAAGATATGGCTTTTCTCTTTCGTCACGGAGACGCTGTGAATGGGGACCTTCATGATCAAGGAAGGAATTGCTGGCTTCAGCCTGCAAGGAGAGAACATCGAGTGGAACCACCAAGGATGCGAGGGGAGAAAATTCCCCAGCCTGACGCCTTTCAGATAACAGAAACTATCTCCTTATCCTGCCCTTCTCCTCTGAACTCTCCCTGAGGGAAAGGGACAGCAGTCCTCCATTTATGGCCACAACTGAGCCCAAACGTTTAGTTGCTAAGCGAGACAGTTAGAAATGAGTTGTGCCGCCGTTTTACGACCTTTCTTGCCGGAGTTGTTAAGCGAATCCCTGCAGTTGTTAACTTAGTCACATGGTCGTTAAGCGAATCGGGCTTGTCCTTGCTTGTCAGAAGGTCGCAAAAGCGGATCACGTGACTTTGGGGCACTGCAACCATCATAAATGTGAACCAGCTGCCAAGCGGCCGAAGTTTGATCACAGGGCCGCGGGGATTGCGAGTGTCGTAAGTGTGGAAAACAGTCATAAGGGTTGTTTGTCCCCAGTGTCGTCGTAACTTTGAACAGCCCCTAAATGCATTGTTGTAAGTGGAGGACTACTCGTATTGCTGATAACTCGGTCAGATCGAATCAGGAATAAGGCCTCTGAAGAGAAGGACAGATTTGGGAGGAGGGTGGCAAGGGAGTTTTTGGGATAGGTTGTGTGCCCACAACCGGGGAGGGGTGTGTGATGGAGTGCAGTGAAGTGTGAGTGTCACAGGCACAAGGAGGGGCGTGAGACAAGAGGCAGCACAGTTCAGAATCGGATCGTGAGGAAGAAGAAGGGAATTAGGAGAGCCACTCCCTAGAATCTCCCAGGATATATCCGTTAGGGTGAGAATAGCACAACTTTAGTCTGGCAAGATTCTGTCTGTCGAATGCGAGCAAACAAAGAACTGAATCTTGACTGGATTGTGGGCTCTCTGAGCTGGGCTGTTTACTTGCAGATGTTTGATCAACTGAAAAGGCTGCAAGAAAACAAGCTCAAATGAGCACCAAGGAATCCATAGAAAGAGAAACCCAGATAAGCGTGGATTAATGCCAGGAAGAAAAAAAATATCAAACAGAAAACAGTGCTCTTATTTCAGGAACTACCAAAGGCCGGGGAAAAAACTTGCTCACTCAAAGTAAGATACTTAATTATCCAGACCTTAACAGCGACACGAATTGCACTGGCATATTACTGGGAAAAGCTTAATGTACCACTTCTACATTTTGTTATTCAGAAAATATACGAGTGTGCTGACGTGGAAAGGCTTACATTGAAATTAAAAAAGAGAAAGATGATACGGAATATTACCGGATTCTGGGACAAATCATACAAATGGATAGATCGTAAAGAAAAACAATGTATAAAATAAAAAGAAATAAGGACTTTAAGAAATACATTATTATATATGGCTTGAAGGACAGAGAATCATTGAGTATGAGTCTTTACTCCTCCTTCATTTTGATTAAGCCAAATAAATGATTTATTTATAAAATTATATAGTTGTAATCTAGGAGTAAGAAATGATTAATAGGTAATATATATTATTAATATAGGGTTTTTTTTACAATAGATAGAAAGTAACTGCCACTTACTAATCTAGATGGAATATTTAAATCCCTATCAAACGGTACTAGAGGAAAATAAGAACGGTTGCACTACAGAATCTGTTATGATGCTTATTTGTACAATTTTGTATTTTTTACTTTTGTATTAGTGTCTTTTAACTTTTTGTATTTAATAAAGTTTTTTAAAAAAATATTTTTAAAAAATTACACTTCCATCAACACTGCTAAAGTCTGACACTTCCTTGAATATCTTATCTGATCTGTCCCAGGCAAATCTGCCCGTTTTGGAAGTTTCCTGTAAATAGGCATTCAACAATAAAGTAACTAGTTTGAACTCTACCCATGCGGGTCTCTTTGTTCGCACCTTGCTATAGCTAAGCATAGATACAATAAGTCCACAATACAATAAGAGAGAACAGGGTAGCCATTGTGTCAAAAAAGAGAAACTGAGGAAGGAAAAAGAGGTCACCTCTGCAGGTCCCTGATCTGTAACGAACACTGAAGGGTGCCCAACACGACAAAGTCCTCTGTGACGCACATCGAGGTCACTTGCTCATCCAGGGAGACAGAAGACAGGTGCTTGCCGTTGACTGAGTAAAGGTGGAGGGCGAACTTGTCCTTTAGCGAGAAAGAAGAAGGAGAAGCTGGAGATTAGCTGAGCAGACCCGTACAAAGTAGAGTTAGTCCTTAACTGACAATCATTCGTTTAGTGACCTGTTCTATGTTACGGTGGCACTGAAATAAGTGACTTATGACTGATTTTTTCCTCCCCGTCCTTCCTCCTTTCCGCAAACTCCACTCTAACAAGATCAGAGAGCACCAAGGAGCCTGCGGTCCTCCTCTTTCCTGCCCTTCCTCTTCCTCATCCCCACAATCCCCACTCCCTTGTAGCACTGATGATATTACCTAGTTTGGGTCATGAGACGTCTGCAAGAAAACCACCAAACTCATCATTCAATCCTGAGCTATTCTCCTCCCTTGATTCCTGCCCCCTCCCCTCCCCCCCTCCCTCCCAGGTTGTACCTTGAGAGGGGTTCTTCCCCCCACGATCGTCTGGACCACGATCTGCCCCTCGTGACCTACAGCCAGGTTGGAGATGGTGACCGGCAGGGAACTCTCGCACGGGGGCTTCAACGACTTCATGAACTGCCCTTGGCGGATGGTGTGCACAAGGATGCTGCCATCCTGACGGAGGCGGGAAGGAAGAAAACATGGTTCTAAATTGAGGTTTAAGAATTCCCACAGGACGATCAGAGGAAGAAGTGCAGCAGGAATGGAAAAAAAATCCAGATGTTGGTCTAGATTTCTAGATAATGGTAATAGAACAGGACAATCGCATGACCATCCGGATTTTACAATATTGTTTGCATCAGTGCTGTCAGAGTTTGCAACGACCCAACCAGCACACAAGTAAATAATTCAGCAGGATTAATTTATAGAAGAAACTTCTTTATATACAATAATATAAAGCATGATGCATGTATACAATACCCATGCAGCTCTTGAAGCAATCAAGAAGCAGAAGCAATCAGAACCATCAGAACTCTGTATCACGGAAGCTATATTACAAGGACATTCATATATATATATATATATATGTGTATATGTGTATATATATATATATACACATATGCACACACACACACACACACATATATTTGTTTTCTTAAGAAGATGAACAAACCTATGGAACAGCTGTCCTGCCCTACACAAGAGGTACTACAGACAAAATCAGTAAGATACTACACAGGCATCACATCAAGACCGCCTTCAAAACAAACAAAAAAATAGCAGCCATCCTTAGAGACCCCAAAGATAAAATTGACCTGGAAAACCAAGGCATATACGAAGTCCCCTGTGCATCATGCCCGGCCACATACATTGGACAGACCAATAGAAGAATAAGTACCCGCCTGGATGAACACAAAAATGCAGTCAAAAAGCTGGAACACACTTCCTCACTAGTCCAACACATGGAAGCCACAGGTCATAGCATTGACTTCAGTGGCACCTAAACCCTAGCCACTATAGAAAACCCCAGCCACAGAATTATCAGAGAAGCCATAGAGATTGATAAAAGACCAGAAAGCATGAATAGAAGAGATGATTCCACCAGACTGTCAATCATTTGGAAGCCTGCACTCTCAAACAAAAAAATCTCCACACCACAAGCCAGGCAAACACCTGGGCACAGACAGATCCCCCGATACCTCCCCCCGATACCTCCAGGTCAAACACACCCCAACCAGGCACCCAGATGAAACCTAGCTTCCTAACAAATGATAGCCGTCCATTTACTTGGAGCCAAGCTGCACTAAAAGCCTCCAATACAGGAACACAATGTTGCCAGCCAATCAAGACAAAAAAAGCCACAAAACAGACAGAAGATATTAGAAACACTAATCAAGCAGAACACAGCAAACTCCAAGACCAATAAACACAGACCAAGACTCCCAACCAATCAGGGTGAAGAAAAAAACATTCTGGCACAGCAGTAAGCTAGCCCCAAATTTAAAACAGAAACGGCTATAAAAGCCTGACTCACAGACGAACACAATACAGAAGCCTGATGATGGCAGATGAGATTCTGCTGAAACGTTGCTACAACTTTAAAAGCACAACTATAATGACGTGGGAAAATACCCGAACAAAGCTGAATGCCATACATACATACATACATACATACATACATACGTACATAGTCACCAAACAGTTCCCATTTGGCTGACATGTTGTTAGGTCTATCCCAGCTCATAATTTCTTATACGCTGACAAGTCATTAAGCGAATCACTATGGTGGTAAGTGCAAATGCCTGGTCTTTAAATGAACATGGCAGTAATAAGTATGAATTCACTGTTCTCTATGGGTGTGGTTCTACTAAAAACTGGGCTGTATCCAGGTTGTAAGTAGCTTCTAAGTAGGGATGTCATTGAGCAATTGCTAAGTGACCAGTCATAAATCAAGGACTACCTGCAAAGAGACAGAAGACTGTTGTGTAAATAGTTTTGTTTACTTGTCTCCAAGATTAATGAAAATATGATCTTCTGTATAAGATGCTTGAAAGAACATAGAATAACAGAATTGGAAGGGACCTTGGAGATCTTCTAGTCCATCTCAAGCTGGAGACGAATGACTATCAGAATATATCTATCCTGATGGATGTGTGGATATACTTATTTTAAGTAAGAAATAGTTCAATTACTGGAATTGCTGTAGCCCCATCCCTTTCATCTGAATAAATCTCGCGTCAATAAATCTCACAAAAGAAAACTTTCGTGTCAATAAATCTCGCGAAAGAAAACTTTCATCTGAATAAATCTTGTGAAAGAAACTTTTGTCTCAATAAATCTTGTTAAAGGAAACTTTCACCTCAATAAATCTCGCTAAAGAATTTTTTTGTCTCAATAAATCTTGTTAAAGAAAACTTTCACTTCAATAAATCTCGCTAAAGAAATTTTTTGTCTCAATAAAACTCGTTAAAGAAAACGGCAAAAACCATGCCACGAAAGGAATCCCTACAAACTTATGCCAAACACCTGAGTCAGGGAGATACATTGATTTTTGACTTCCTGGGTCACCTGCCAAGCAATACATCGATCAGGGCTCCCAAACAGAGGTGAAACGAAGAAAGCCAAGCCTTTACCTTGGACCCCGACACCGCCATGTCCAGTTCCGTGCTGATGCCGACACATGTGACTTCATCTTCGTGTCCGTAGAGGACCTGGACTGGCTTGGAAGCTAAGCCATAAGACAGACCACCCTGGGTGAGTAAGGGAAGAAGATAGAACCATAGAGTCAGATGGGGCTTAAGAGGCCATCTGGTCTAACCCCACGTGTGCTGCAGGGTTCGCTGCACCATCCCGGATAGATGTAATGGGAAGAGGGAATGGCCTTGGAGAACAGGAGGAAGAGCTGCAATCGAGATAATGGGCACATAAGAGAAATATAAGTCCGGGCCAGAATTGTACCCTCTCTTCCTGGACACACCACAGGGGATGCTGGGAGTGGAAAGTGGAGGAGAACACCAGGACCCTGGGATCATCCCAGTCATGACGGAAAGGAATCTGTTCCCTTACCTGCTGGAGGACTTGCCACACCAGACAGGTGGTGTCTCGCGATCCAGAAATGAGGTAGATTCCACACAGATCTAAGGCCAGGCAGGTCACAACATCTGTTGCGAAGAAGAAGATTTCATACAAAGCCAAACACAAATGCATGGTTGACACGCTCTGGAGATTTTGCGTACTTTAGATGTGGAAGCCGGCTGGGAGACTTTGGGCCAATCACCAGGAGACGGAGAGTTCTAGTCC